GTTAACCTGCATATGATGGCAGAGTGAGGAGACAGGGTAACTCCAAGGATGCCTTGTGCCTTACGCAACCACTCCAGACAAACTCATGGTGCGAGCAGTGCTCGAAGATGAGCTGTGCCCTCCCCTCCTCCCGGCTCTCCTAGCACCTACACGCAGCCAGAATAGCAGGGGCCGTACTCTGTGTGGGTACTTCTGCACTGATAAAGCTGTCCTAGCAGAGACAGGGACTGCATCTCCATCAAAGGATTGCTGGCTTGGTTTTAATGGTGCATCTACAGCAACAGGCCTGCTCTTTCACAGAAATAACCATTCCCCTCATGTTTTCTGCTGTTCCCTCCTTCTCCTTTCCTGCCCTTGCCATGTCCCTATCCCAGCCATGATATACCCACTCCAACCTTATGTGGAAGATGGCACAGTGAGCTGAAGCAGTCCTCCATAGGTCAGACTGACTCACGATCCCCTTCTGTTCCCAGACACTATCCATCCAGTGCACCCCAACTGTGGCAAGGGCTGACTGCTGGACGGCATTCGACAATAGTAACAAAAAAGAACTATTATTAATTATTTGTATCTAGAGTCAGTCTCTTCCAAGCTCGTTTTCCAAGCAGTGTTTATGTTTAACTATATTGGTGTAATTTTCTATAAATTCAGGGTGCCGTTGCTTAACAATTGGCATCAAGTGCCTTGCAGGATGCTCCAGGTTATTCAAGGCATCTGCATGACTTTGCAGATCCAACGTTTACAGAAGCACAGTGCCGTTCTGGAGAACCAAGCAGAATTGAGGCTGATAACCTGAGGGCCATGAAATGGCACTGGAAGTTTGTTTAGGCATCTGAATGCCACCTCTATTGCATTAGCAGTAATGGTTGCTTAGGCACTTAGCACATATGTGGATACCTGTTTATAGACACATAAATGCAGTTGTCTTCATCCAGAGCTGAATCCTGCTCTTCAATGTCTGCAAAGTAGAGCCAACCAATAGCTGCAAAGCCACTGTTATTTTAAATGCAAGATTTTTTTTCCTTTAACAGCATACAATTTCTGTTGTAACATGTGAGAGTTCTTATCAGGGTCCAACTGCACTAGGCACTCAAACAGAAATAAGCAATTCTGACCTCAACATTTCAAAATGCCAGGGAAAAAAAAAAGGTTCAGAATTAAAAGGGTTCATGACAAAATAAACTCAAAAGTTTAAGTAAACAAATTTACATGAGCACACCCAGGTTTTAGATGACAGAATGACTAGCCATTCCAGGTGATGTAGACTGTCCAGTGAAGACAATTAAATCACACTGGAATTTGTACAGAAAGAGTAGTTAAGTGTTTTATAAACAGACTCCATATGACACTCTCAAAATTCAAGCAGCTCTTACTGCTAAATTGAAACTGAACAATAGCAAACTCAAACCAGGGTATGTTTTGATGTTTCACTCAGAGAAACAAATTCAAGAAGCTTCCCCTTCTATTTCACGAAGCATTGCAGCTATTAAGCTGCTCTAGTTTGTAATATTACCTCCATGGAAAAAAAAAGAAAAGAAAAAAAAAAAAAGAAAAATACACTTCTTCCATAAAAAATTACCTATAACTGGGCTGTCAGTGTAGCACTCTATTATTTCCCCAGGATTCGGTCGTACACATGGAATAAAATGGTAATGCTTTTTTAAACTCCAGCAGTTACTAAAATAACAAAGGTGAGATTATAAGCAAAGACAGCTTTCAACTTGATCCTGACCTTAAAAATAGAAAATACCTCAGCTTGTCAAAATAAGATTGTATCCTTGAAAGATATGAGACTTGCATAAATGAACAAACACCTTGGGAGAAGACTTTTATTGCTAGGATTAATTTACTAGCTATCAGCACTACTCTATTTACTGCAAAGATACGCTGATCCTGAAGTCCTTTTTTTTCAAAAGAAAACATACCCATCCTGACCCCCATTCAAAATGTCTCACAAAATCACATCAGTCAGACCAACATGTCTGTTCAAGAGCTGTTCACAATCCTTAAAATAAAGGCCCAGGCAGTTAATTTCCACATCATGCACCCTGGCAGGTAAACTCATACCTTCCACATTGATGGACTAGTGCCACCAGATAGCTCTGTTCCAGTTGCAATGATTTGTCATTGCATCTGAGATCTCCACCAAGTCCAAGACCCAAAACTAACTTTGTATGTCTTATCAACAATGCACAAAAAAAGAAATAAGGGAGCTACAATGAAAAAATACATAATGCAGATGGGATTTCTTAGGAAAAAAAATAAATGTTATCATTAGGCAGAGATGTGGGCTCTAGGAAATTTAAGGAACATTGAGAGTTTTTCATCCTGGAATAATGAAAGGTTAGCTTGGTGACCTGCTTTCTAAAGGGTAGAACCTTTCTCAAGAAACTGTAAGTATTGAAGAAGATAAACTCTCTTCCCTTGATTAGTGGATTTGAAAATTCACCATCAGGGATTTTAGAGCAGCAGATGGCACATCTGTCCATGAGTTTATTAATTCCCTGCCCTGTAAGAACATCATGACAGTTTGGAAGAACTTTGCAATTATGAGATTGTCTCCACTTCTCATGGAAAACTTATTTTGAGTGTGAGGATAATTTCACAGTAACTCACGTTTCTTCAAATTAAGATTCATCAGGGTCACACAATAAAATGATCCCTCTAACTTAACTAGCCAGATTTTGAAATTAAGAGAACAAAGTTCACCTGGGGATGAATTAATGGTTAACGGCCATGCGGATGCACCTATATAATCAAACTTCTCTCCATTTTCCCACATTGCTTCACATCCGAACTGTGTGTGCTGTGTTGCTCTGAACACAAATTGCCTGGATGTTACCTCCTCGTTGAAAGGCTGGCAGGCAGCCATGGGGCCCTATGTGTGACTACATACTGCTGGAACCACACACCCCGTGCTCCAGCAGTATTACAGCAGTTGTGTCTTCTGCATTTGTACAGAGCCATGCAGAGGTCATGGACTTTGCAATCTGGGAAGAGGAGCCCACTTACTCCTCCCTCAACAACAGCCATGATGATGTGAAAATACACAGACATATATCAAAGCGATGCTGAGAGGGGTCACTCCGGGAACACTGCTCAAAGCTGCAGCAAATGAAGAGGCTCTGGCACAATGATTTAAAAACAAACCTCTGGAAAGAAGCAGAATCCTGGCAACACTCCAAGTACCTTTCCCAAGTACCTCTGAGCACCAGATGGACTTTTTCCAGCAAAGCCACCGATTATGTATAGTGCAGACAAAAGGCACAGAGGAGTTCGTGGTCCTTAACCAGGGCTCTAGTGAGAACGAGTTTCCTTTCCCCATACCAGAGTCCAAACCAGAACCTGGAGAACAGAAAGCTCTTTCACCGCTGCACACATGCACACACACAGAGTGGAAGCGTCTAGCCAGTCCTAAGCAAGTCACTGTGGGACTGCAGCAGTTTCAAATAAAAATAGTGTGATGGAGGTATGTTTATAGAAACATCAAATACAGAAAAGAGGGGCAATGTAAAACATACTTTGCTTTTTATAAGACATATTTAGCATTTTATAAGGTATACTTGCCCAAGCAAGGAATGGAAAATTGCAAAGACATTGAAAGCACTCAGCCAGGCTCTGTGTTTTTAAACCTTGCTTCAGTACAGTCACTTCAAAGCACTGCTCACTGCACAGTGCATTCTGTGTACGCCTGCCACAGAAAAAGATATTAAGATAAGAATGATGCTCTCTTTTGGCATGAAAATTGCAGGCTGTATCAGTATTGCAGATGTAAATAATTTTTCCATTCCCATCTGCCGCAACCCCTGGCAGACTGTTCTCCTGAGTAGCATCACTGAATCATTTGCTGCTTTGTCTCCTATCTTGCTGAATAAGCTCATTAGTGCTTCTTAGTGGCTTACATCAGACCAACATCTTCCACACAGGCCATGGGTGTGCAGAAGTGCAAAGGTGCACATGCCCATTTCCTGCTACCTCCTATCTCACAGCCTGTGCCTAAACCCCAGGCTAACTACTCCACAGCTTTACCCTGATTACTCTTAAAAAGTTCTCAGCTTTTCACCCTGAATCTTCCTTACTGCCGTTTAAGCCATACTACCTCTTATGTGATACCTTCTCCACAGCTGGAGAACTGCAATAGCCTTTTATAAAGTACTTGAAGACTACTATTATATCTCTTCTTCAATCATCTCTAGGCTCAAACTGTTTACAGGAGTCAATTCTGTGGCAATGCTCTGAAATTTTCTGTTTCTTACACAGAAGTGAGGCTGTCTCTAAGAGGCATTTTAAAGAAAATTGCACTGTAGGTATTCGGAGAAGGCAACAACAGATGCTTGTCCAGAACTCTAAATGGTGCTTCTGGGAGAACATCAGGGTTGTTATTCTGCAGAGACAAGCGCAAGAAAGCAGACAGTGTAATTATTTCAAAATAGTTACTATTCAGCAATGCAAACAATGCATAAATCTCCAAATATGGGCTTAAAGATGAAAGATCCTGCTCTGCAGCAACTAAAAATGCAAAATGACATTAGGAAAATGATAAATACTTCCCAGAATTCAGTCATGTTCATAATTTTTTATCTGCAACTGAAAAGTAATCTTAAGTCAACTCAGTAGAACTTTGCTCAAAATTATTTCATCACAGAATCATTAAATTTATTTACTTCTCCCTTGAGAATCTGAATACGGTAGAGGCCACTGTTTTCCAAGTTTTAAAAGCATTTTTAATCTAATCTCTTATATATATATATATATATATATATATACACACACATAAGTGTCTATCACTTCACTTTCTTGCCATGCCTTAGATAATATTCACAAGTTAAAGAGTAATATATTGAGCACTCCATCCCACATCCCAAAATCTTAGCTTTTGTGGATTCCTAAATGTAAGCTAGCATCTTAGGTAACTT